TTATAATGTCAATTAAGATATTATACCTAGCTGTCACAGTGAATTATATTTTTTAAATACCCAAGTTTTACACTATGTTAAATGTTAATAATATAATTTATTATAAAATTTAAAATTTAATTTATCCGTCTAAAATGGTATTTCAGAACACTGTAAGTCTGCAACAGGTCAATAAGGACACTTTAAATATATATAAGTAAAATGATAAATGCTAAAATACCATAACAATACAAAACTATTTGGTTTGAAAATGTGTAAGTTGTTTACTGCCCTTGTACTATCTAAATCAATTATAAAAATATTGGCATAATAAAAATAGTAAATTTAATGGACAATTACCAAAAAATGTTTCTATTTATACTAAATAACGATAATATAGTTTAATTTTCAAGATATTTTCAAACAATAATATTATGAAAACAAGCATAGTGTATTATATAAAATACTTGTATAATTATGTGTATAAGTGTAACTTGGTGAGGGAGAATTAGCTCCCCACAAATTAACTTTGGGATTTGGTGTAATATTAAAGTGAATCTTTAGCCCTCTCCCCTCTAAAATGTAGTGCTAGTTACATCACTGATGTATAGGTAATAGGTATATTATTATATTATTTTTTATATCATGAATTCATGAAATATAACAAATACATATTATATATTAATTAATTTTAAAAATGTTTGCTTACTCAAGGCGAGGTTCCCAATAGATGCCAAATATGTCTAGGKAACAATGAAGATGTTGAAGGGACTAACATTTTTCTACCATGTGGACATGGATGGTGTTGTGATGCTTSTGAAGTTTGTTGTACAAATAATTGTCCAATTTGTAAAACTCAGATATTAACTACACAACCCATACACATAATGTTCCCTAGAATAGGAGAAGGTGAATCTATTAGGAGTTAAAACGTTTAATAATTTTGGTATAATGTACTGATACATTTTAATATTCTATACTTTAGGTACTTGGAGTAGAAATACTTTGCTATTGGATCTCACAGTACCTGGGCGTAACTAGGATTTAATAGCTACAGAGGCTAGAGTCCTAGAAAACCCAAGTCCAAGATAATTTGTGGGGGGCTTTGCCCCCCCTCTAAGCATCCCTGGCATTTAGTAATCACAAGAGTCCTCTAAAATCAAAATTTAAAATAAACCATAGAATCAAAGTATAACCTAGTCAATAAAAACAAATTTACATTATAATTTATAACTGTATACGCCTATATTTTGATGAAAATAGTTTTAAAATATCATAATCGTTTATTACATTAGATAGTTCTCTTTCTATATTAAGTATAGCCAGATCACTAAATCTG